GATGGCTGTGGAGTTACGCTGTGGACAGCAGAGGGCAGGGCGGCAACATCCTTTGTTGAGTTGCAGGGTGGCGAGGTGGGAACACGCGCACCTCACAGCGAATAAGGTAGCAGTAATACATGCCCCCGGTTTACGTCGAGGATGCGTTCCCGGAATGGGCGACGACCCATATCGACACGTCAAGCGAACCGATTTACAGGGTAGTAGGTGGAGGCGAAGGCTGAGAGGGCCGACGGATACGAGAGAGAATGGACGACGCCGTCAGCGACGTAAGTGTGGGGTTGAGGCGACGCAAATCGGGGCAGTCGCGGTGCTAATACAGTGACGGCGGATTTTTGCGAAACGACGTTAAAGGGGGAGACGTAAATCAGGGTGTGACTCTACTGATTTCGACTCCCGACTCGGGCGCTTTTCTGCGTGGCGTTTTTGAGTTTGTAGGTTCTGTCTTTGTTCTGCATCGCGGGTTTCCTCTTGAGTTCTCCGGTTTTCTCCCGTATCCAAAATACCAACCACGATAACTCATATTGGCTAAACATCCCTGCAAGTCACCCAATTGTGGTTTACACACGGCAGTTGCATCAGAAAATCTTCCCGCGAAAGCTTGACAGAACCCTCCTGAAAACCCCCATGCGACTCAGTGGAGTTTTTTGTTTTAAGGGGCCGTCCATAAATGACGTCACGCGATTTTGGACGAATTTTGACCCCCCCCCCTTCGTCACACGGCGTCACAAAAAAAAACATGCTTCAAATCGCTTTAAACTATTGTCATTATAGTGTGTATTTAATGTGGCGCTGCATTCTGATGTAGGAGAAAACATTTATTAACAAGTCTATTTAATTAAGTAGAACGTAACGTTAAGTAGAACGTAAGGTCACGTTTCTCATCCCCCCCCCCCCATCGTCACAAATCGTCACAAATGTCCGACCCCCCCCCCCCAGGTGCGTTACGTCATTTATGTCCGGCCCCTAACTGCTGATGAGACACTGAATGTGGAAACCGATCCAGAGTTGTGCTTTTGTTGAACCGATGCTGCTGAGATGATGCACTCCCAGCATCGACGTGACAGCGCAGTTGTTATAATCATCACGCGAGTTAACATTGCCATAGAAAGCCTAAACAAAATACGCGAGGCGGCATTTCAGTGTTCTTGATTCGATCCTTATGGCGGTACCCCGGGGCACCAAATCATACTGAATGGCCGAGGCAATTAAACATGTTATTTCTGGGACACAATTTTTTTCCCAGGGGTGTACTTCACTCCGCGACTGGCGTACCAATCAGTACATCAGTGCCACACTCCGCGATGTCGGAACGCAGCGAGGACGATTGCGCTGAAACCCTGAACGCTCGCGGCACGCACCGTGGTGGTGCATCGTGTCCAGCCCGTCGAGATGAGTCGATTTCCGCATCGGCGACCATCAACAGACTAACAGTGACTAGCATCGCGCACATGGTGCGAGAGCCGGGCTACTATGCTGCACTATTTTACCCAGGGGTAACCACCATGAAGTTAATTTGTTGATTTGTGCTCTGCACACTACCGCTACCGCTACCGCGTGGACTTGTGTTGTTGTGTTGTTGCTGTGTTGTTGTTGTTGTGTTGGTGTTGATGTTGCTCTGGAGACCGGGGGAGATTGAAGATCGACGATTGATGTTCGGTCGCCGCATTGATGGCATTCGTTGTGATTTCTCACTTAACAACAGAATCAAACTTCGTATTTGTAGGATCAGAATATTTCACAACAGAGTGGGCCGCGTGAAGGCCGCTGCAATCTTCCAAGCCAGCGACCCAAAGCAGGAGATCTCCCGGGGGTTTGATTTTCTGCGAAGCTGCTCGTGGGTCCACCCTTAACCCGCATTATCCACTGCAGTAGCAGATGCGGATACCTGATGCACAAATCTATACGTAAAAATCTCGGATAGTGGGAAGATTCGCGGATTATAGGAAGAGTGGGGAGGTGGATCGCGGTTCAAGAGGGGCGTTGTGATTGGGCGACGATGCCGATGCAACTTCGAGTCAATTAAACTGTGGAGCGCAACGGATCCTGAGAGATTCTCAAACCCAGGGAGCCACATTGTTTGAAGAAGAATAAATTCGACATGTAACGCTCTTCATCCATACATTTGGATGAGTTTGATCTTCCAACAAGCTCATGGTCCACCCTAAACCGCATCCACTGCACAAACCATGGCAGTGGTTGCGGATACCTGATGATGCACAAATAGAAAAATAAAAAAACTCTCCAGCAGCGTGCGACTGTGGCCATCCAGAACAGACCGTGCAACGTGGAACGACGCAATGCCCCGATCCACAAATGCGAAGGAGACATCGCAGCGATGAAACACCCGCTACTCCTGACGCGGTTCTCCGGGATCGACCACCTGCATGTGAAATTGCAGTCGTTGCTCCGCATCTACATCAGCAGGAGCCGTACGTGAGAAGAAAAAGAAGAAGACTTCCAAGGCAGTAGCAGCAGCAGCAGTCACCAAGCCATTTGTTCAATCGGCGAAGTCGAGACTTGCTTGAATTCAAAGCTGGGAGCAGCCCCCCTATTGATTGCTCGGGGCAACTATTTAACCGGTGGCTACGAAACAAAAAGTGAATACCCGAAAACCAAAAAACAACACGCAAATGTTGACTTAGCCTCATGCTCGTGGAATGTGGACTCGGAGAGAATGAGCCGACGCGCGCGTTCGCAGTGGCGCGAGAGGCACTCTCCGTGGGCCGCGAGGGCTGTCCAAGGCGCCGTCATGCGCGTCGACCGCCTGGCCCCACACCACGGCACGGGGTGGGGGGGGGGCTCTCTCTCCCTCTCTCGCCCACCCCGCACACGCCTCTCTCCATCTCTCTCACTGTGTGTCTCGGAGTGGGCTGGCTTCTCGTGCCAGGGCGGCACTAAGCTGGGTCTGCGGGCCGAGCTTCCGAGCCAAAACAAACACGCGGTGATCAGAGCGAGATCTGTCGGCAGTCCCCTGTGCGTGGAGACGCACCTTACCCCGCGTCTCTACGACAAGAGGCGACACCCCCCCCCCCCCCGTGTGGTGTCTGCACACACGCGCGATGGCTGCCACTCGGGGTATTCTCTCCCACGTTTTTACTGCTGCACACACAGCGACCTCCTTGCTCAAGTGAACATTGAGACATTGCTGCTCACCTCCCGTGTACAGCCTCGCAGCTAGCGAGCTCGGGCCGCAGGTGGAATATTCCACATACCGATGTTCAGCGGCTGAGTCGTACCTGCAAAACAACCGCTGCTAACTTCCCCCACAACGTGGTACTCTACTCATTTATCGACCCCGGAGGGATGATAGGCTGAGTCCAACCACCAACTAGGATTTGAACTCACGACCTTCCGATTAACAAAAAGAATGTGAGACAGTGACTCAGAGGCGCGAGGAGGAACCACAAGCAAGCCGGGAAGTAGCCACGCGGTGAGCTGGCACTACCAACGATGGCCCGAGCTCTGTGGTCCTGTATATGTAAATATTGAGATGTGTTCTGCCAATTAATGAGTTGTATATATGTGGGAAGAAACCGGATTACCCACAGAAAACCCACGTGTGCGAGGAGGCAACACTCTATCCTGTACAGTTGGAACAGATGGAGTCCACTTTTTGCTGTACCGCCTCCGCCTGCCATAGCCAGGGTCACGGATCCTCCTCGACGCCGACGCGAAGGAGTTTCAAGAAATCTGTGCGCAGAGCGATCCAACAACCCTCGCTGCTGCCTCCACGGCGCAGAGCGATTGCGAGCCACTTGCCGCACCAGCGAGTCGCCAGGCCGGCTGATGCCACGGCTGGCTGTGGTCCTTGTTCGATGTTATGTACATACTGGAGTGTTTGAACTGTGTATATATATGTAAAGGAGCCACCACATTCGGCACCATGACTGCCACACTCCAATTAATTGTATTTTGTGTTAATCGCAACCTCCAATTGTAACGTCAGTTGATCCCCATGGAACTTTGGGCCAAAGTTTGGAGCAACAGTTCCATCCACATACCAACTTTGGCCCAACGTTGACCCAACGTTGGTATGATTACCGAGTCTCTGCCAGATGGCAGCTCTGACGGGGCCCCACTGTTGCGAAATGTCAACCCTTTCGCCTTGTGTACAGGAGATCGTGGATTCGATTCCGACCCTGACGACAATATAGATTTGGAATTTGCGTGTTCTCTTCGTGGTCGCGTGGATTTGTCTCCGGGTCCTCCGGTTTTCCCTCCATATTTATAATAAACATGCGCCTTGAGTAATTGTCTGCTCTAAATTTGCACATTTTAAGCCACCTTGTTGAGCTGTCATTTGTGTCCAGGTCGCTTCTGAAAAGGAGCTATAGATCTCAGTGGGCCTTACCTGATGAAATCTAGAATGAATGTAAAACAAGTTAAACTAGTAATAGTTTAAAACCACACGAGGCTGCGCTCGGCGCAGCGTCCCATGCGTGAATTGCCCAGCGTCGTGGCGAGCGTCACTCTCAGAGACTAGCGCTGCTGTTGCTGTTGCTGCTGTTGCTGCTGTTGCTGCTGTTGCTGCCGCTGCTGTTACTGCCGTTGCTGTTGCTGCCGTTGCTGTTGCTGCTGTTGCTGTTACTGCTGTTGCTGCTGTTGCTGTTACTGCTGTTGCTGCTGTTGTTGCTGCTGTTGCTGCCGCTGCTGTTGCTGTTACTGCTGTTGCTGCCGTTGCTGCTGCTGCTGTTATTGCCGCTGCTGTTGCTGTTGCTGCTGTTGCTGCCGCTGCTGTTACTATGAAGAGGCGCGCGCCAAGCCACGCGACGCTCTCCACGCACACTCACCCCCGCCGAGTGGCTTGGCTCTGCCTCTAACCGATCTCAGGTGTGTCGAGGAGGCTGAGTGCGTGGGGAGGTGGAGGGCGTGAATGTGGCAACTCAACGTGGGGGCGCGATTGGTCGGAGAGCCACCCCCACGACCCCCTCCCCCACGACCACCCCCACGACCCCCTCCCCCACGACCACCCCCACGACCCCCCCCCCCCTCGCGCAGGCGAGACAGAGCCACAGGTGTATAGTCACCTATGCTTCCTGAATCTCGGAGACTCAACTGGCGGAGGGAACACCTTCTCTCGACTTCAGACAATGCGCCTACATCCCAAGGCGGCCAGGTAAGGAGAAAGAGCGGGGAGCGGCTGGGGAGGAGAGGTGGAGAGGGTGGGGAAGTCGGTGATTGTAGGGTACGAAGGCGATTTGGGAGAGATACAAACAGAAGAGGGAGAACGCGGACAGCGAGACTCAGAGCCGCAGTCAGGGGCAAGAAAACAGAGGCTCGGGTTGAGAAAGAGACGCAAGCACAGAGACGGAGAGATGCAAGAGACACGCATATTAATGAGTGATACCGACCTGTCAAACGTGCCGCTGGTTTCGGATAGACGAAGCGTCTGTGTAAGTACAAGGGAGTAGCGATCTACATTCCAGCAGAGACCGGGTGGCAGAGGGGTCGTGGAGACGCGGCGCGTGGGGTGGAGGCAGCGCGGTGCTTGAACCGCGCGGCGTTGACGAGGCGGCGTGGGGAGCGCCGCGCAGCGAGCCCGCGATCACTCCGCTCCGTGGCGGGGAGGAGGCGTTTGATAGGCGAGGAATGCGAATCCAGTTCCTGTCCAGGCTGTGTGATCCTGGGCGTGACGAGGCCGTTGCTTTCAACTTGAATTGTTGTCAACTCCGTGAACCCTCGTGTAGCGCTTATTTCTCGACCGTCAATGTGTCCTTCACGCTTTGTTCTGAAAAAGGAGCACTGCCCGAACCACCGGCCTTCCTTTTACTTAACACTTAGGTTTGTGCGCCCGACACAGCCAAACAAATTGTCGCGTGTCTAGGCGGTCAAGGAAGTCCTCTTTGAGCGACTTTCATTGTCTCGAGGCACCACTGACTAAACGTGTGGCTCGTGAGAGCCATGTAGCATTCACAGGCGACTATTGCGCAGTTCAGTGACTGCCTGCACATGATGAGTGGTTATGGGTGGCACTCATCTGCAGCTGATGCCACCCCCCCACCCCCACCGGGCTTATGGGGTCAATTTCTCATTCTCATTTGCAGGGTTTAGCCTTCCCAAACACGTTAAACCGACGCTCGTGTTGCCCGGGTATCCAACAGCGTGACAATTGTTATCGTCAACTCACTCGCCCGTGAGCGGGTGGGTGAGCGGGTGAGTGAGCGGGTGGGTGAGCGGGTGAGTGAGCGGGTGGGTAAGCGGGTGGGTGAGCGGGTGGGTAAGCGGGTGGGTGAGCGGGTGAGTAAATCTCACAATCAGATGCGATGTTTGTCTTGGGGGTGGAAACGTCGTGTCTAACCACTCATTATGCGGATCTGCTCATTGATCATCGCATGGCTTCACCCAAACAATCTATTATGAATCAAGGCAGTCATATTCTATGGTTCTTTCGGTAAAGGGCTCTGTTCTAGGTCCCCTGCTCTTCACAGCCTACACTTCCCCGATCGGCCGACTCATTGCAAGCTTCGGTGTTAAGCATCACTCATACGCGGATGACACGATTCTATTCACCGCCATCGATTCTAGCAATGCATCTGGATTCGAGAGGCTCTCGGAATGTACCACCGCCGTGCAACAATGGTTCACTGCACACAACCTAGCCCTTAATCCGAAAAAGTCAGTGGCCATCATGTTAGGTACCAAGCAACGTCTCAATTCAGCAGCACTCCCCACACACATACACATCTTCGGTCATAGCATCAAGTTCACCAACCACTTCAGCTACCTCGGTGTCATCCTAGATTCAACTTTATCCTTCGACCGTCAAACCAACCATATCATCAGCTCATGTAACTTTCACCTGAAGGCTCTTAGACACATACGTCCTCTCATCTCTACTGAAATTGCCAACACTTTGGCATGTTGCATAGTTGGGTCTCGCCTTGACTATTGTAACTCCGTCCTTGTCCGGACCTCCGCTGGCAACCTAAGGAAGCTTCAAAGACTACAAAATAACCTAGCACGCGTCGTCATTGCCCACACTCATCCCCGCCTCGACTCACTAGCTCGTCTCCGCGCTCTCAACTGGCTCCCCATTGCCAGTAGGGTCACATACAAGACCGCCTGCCTCTGCCACAATGCCTTCATATCCGCCTGCCCGCCGTATCTTTCTTCATTACTGACAACTTGCAGCTCAGCACACGGCAGATGCCTGCGCAGCGCGACTCACGACCTCCTCTCAATACCAAGATCCAGGATGGTCATGTCTACGCGCCGCTTCTCGGTGGCAGCCCCAACAGTCTGGAACGATATCCCTCTGCACATTCGCAGCATCACCTCAATCGCCTCCTTCAAGAGACACTTAAAAACTCACCTCTACAATCATGCTTTTGAGCGACTCTGAGCTTGGCTCCGCGCCTCTGAGTTGCGGCCACTACGTCTGCAAATTTGCGCGCGTTACAAATTGTACTATTATTATTATTATTAAAGTCACGTAGATAAAAAAAAAACAATAAATAAAATAATAATATTAAAAATGAAAATAAAGTGAATAAAAATACTAAAAATATCACGACGTTTCAATTGCAACACAAGCGGTCGTCATAATTTATATTATTTTATTGTTATTCATTTTTCTATCTACGCGACTATACCGAAAGAACCATAGAATATGAATTCTTGCAGTCACGAAAGTTTTAAGTCAAAATCAAGGCAATGTTAGAATTAATGTGTTTGTTATTTTAATATTGCCCTGTAACATACAGAGGCGGATTGGGTGTCTCGAGATACAGTGATCGACTCGGTCAAAGATTATCCAACAGGGTCCAATGAAATCACTACAGGACATCTCTTATCCCCCGCGGTGATACACGGGGGTCAATATCGGGGATCCTATTATCCGCGGGGTTATCTTTGATTTTCCTCCTTTTATCCGCGGGGTAAAACTTTGCAGATAACTGGCGCAGAATAGGAAGCGCGGATAACAGTCGTCGTGTACCGTTTTGAGCAAAATCAAGGTGGGTCTCCTCTGGATGGATTGGGCCTCACCACAGGAATGTGGAATTTCCATCACTAGCTCATTTAGAATAGGGGCACTTTCATGAATTTATTCCATGGAGCCCACATTTGTTGGAATGCGTAATGAGTCCACGCGAAACTAACTTCACTCAATTTGCAGCTGCATCACGTGAAACATCTTCACCAGTTGTGGTCAATCCGCTGCTGGATCCGCGCAGCACTTGCGAAGCAATCCAATTTCATTGCCGCTCCATCTCCTGGGTGTCGGTACTCTCCGTCATTGTCGCTCCGTCTCCTGGGTGTCGGTCCTCTCCGTCATTGCCGCTCCGCTGTTGTTCTTCCACTTGACCGTCGCCATCGCCGTCCTTTTGAGCCGCGACGCGTCCTTTGCCCAAGCCGCCGCTTGCGAATCACCGAGTGAATTCCTATGGCAGGGCCAGTTTATCCATCGTTAAACCAAAATAACCATTGTGGTTATTTTGTCGATCTCAGGCCGAGACATTGCGAGCGGAGCGTCGTGCACTGGCGCGCTCGGCCTTGACAACTGCGTTGTGATTCTGAACACGCGTGGCCATGCAGCCACTCAGCGGCCACAGCGCACGCGGTAAAGGCGCAGCCCTGCAACTGCTCGCCCATGCCACTGCTGCCAGAGGTGCCTCCTCCACTAGACCGGGCTCGACGGGATGTTGTGCCTCCTCCATCGCGTTGAGCAGACGTGCTGTAATAGGTGGACGTGCCCACACCTTCCCCCCACCACACGCGACCTGTCGATCAATCACTGTGGCTGGGTGGGCAGAGGCGGGAGGGGCGATTTGAAAAACTTGCTCCATCGTTTCAACTGCCGGGCCAGGAGATGGAATCGAATGCATACCCTCGCCTGATATTCAGGAGGTCGTGGATTCGACGCCGACCATGACACCTGCTGTATATTTGGAGTTTTAATTTCCCTCTCCCCGTGGTCGCGTGGATGTTTCCCTGGGTCCTCCGGCTTTTCCCTCCACATTTAGAAACAACATCACTCCTTCTGAGTATTTGGCTGCTATACATTTCCAAATGATCATCCACTTTGTTGAGCTATCGTTTGTGGCCAGGTCGCTTCTGAAAAATAGCTATGTAGCTCTGTGGGCCTTACCTGGTAAAATTAATATACTGAAATAGTTCAATAGAACGCATCGCCTCTGGATGGCAAGTCCAGCGCACTGCTAACCGCTACATCTGCTGTGGCAGCTGCTCCCTGCGTTCGTGGAGTCCTCGCCGAATCCCAAACCGCATCGCTCGCTCGCTCCGTAGAGCCACAGGGCTCCCAGGCATGTGGCAGTGACATGAAATACTTTCCAGTCATAATTTTATTTCATAACTACATTCACACGGCGAATGAATTTAACTTCAAAGAACATTCAGAATCATGGGAGAATAAATTAACAAGAGAGGGAGAGGCAGTCTTGAAAGTCGGACAGAAGTGGCGATGCCGATGAGCGGCACAGTGAGACAGGAGGAAGGAGTGAGTTTCAGACGGCAGCAACTGCGACAGGGTCTCTGTGTGAGTCTGTGGGTCTCTGTGTTAGTCTGTGGGTCTCTGTGTGAGTCTATGGGTCTCTATGCGAGTCTATGAATCTCTATGCGAGTCTATTAATCTCTATGTGAGTCTATTAATCTCTATGTGAGTCTATGAATCTCTATGTGAGTCTATGGGTCTCTGTGTGAGTCTATGGGTCTCTATGTGAGTCTATGGATCTCTATGTGAGTCTACGAGTCTCTATGTGAGTCTACGAGTCTCTGTGTGAGTAATTAATTGGGCATTAGTCTGTGGAGTGACTTCCAGACGATGGGAGCAGCGACAGAGAAGTGACGTTCACCTCGTTTGGTTCAAGAGACTCGGGGCTCGACGGGGAGGAGGCCTCGTGAGGCCAATCGGAGGTTGTCCCATCTTGACCATCATCGTCGTAGTCATCACGAGTGATCTATTTGTGAATACATTTTATTTACCGAGCTTCATGTAGTAACATCCCCGGACGGACGATAACCGTCACCACCTTGGGAGGCTGCTGCCACTCTCTGCGAGGTGGTCACGGCTCTAGCGGTGCAGATGGATCCACGCTCCCTGCCGTCGTGTCAGCTGTATCGGTCTAAGGAGCTTGTGAACAAACGAGCAAGCAGCCGTGTCAGCGTTGTCAGTCGCCGTTCTTCTGTTGTCCACGGTGGTGCAGACGGCAAGGCGCCGATTCCGCGCTGTGTGGCTGGAAGACTCAAGACACCGATGACGCAGGTGAGGTACAATCAATGCCCTTTGGAGTTGTGACGAAGGGGCAGCAACTCGCTCGTGCCGCTGCTGGCAAAAGGGCCTCCACTGGAGGGATCGCTCGCGAGCTCCCTCTAGCAGTCGACTCTCCCACGCCGGCCAGACGCGTTGCAAGAGGTGGCAGTAACAGCCACGCTTTTCCCCAGCGCACGTGACCTGCCGATAGCGCTAAATGTGGTGAAGTCACGTTGCTTGTAACAATAATAATTATCACTGTGAAGTGTTGTTGAAGACGCGTGGACAACGGGGTAAGGCACACGTATTTATTTATACAAAGGGCTTACAGTACTAGAGGGATGTATCGGCCCCCTCACCCGTACAACTGGGAATTCACCCCTAGCTAGCCTTCCTAGCTGAGTCCTCCGCTAACCGGCTAGGGGAGGCTGTCTGGCCCGACACTGGTTAGTCGGGCTACGGTACCCGGAATCCCAGAGGTCTGACTCTGGTTCCGGGACCACGCCACTGGCTCCAGCCTGCACTGCCCTTACAAGAGCGGCGTCCCAGGGGGAGTCCAGGGCCTATCTGGCTGGTCTTCTCTCTTCTCTTAACTACTCTAAGACTGAGCCCCGAGCTCTCTGGCTCAACCCTTTTTATACCCCGTTAGAGGATCGAAACCCCCCTCACGCCGTCCAGTACGGACGTCGTTGCGGGCACCACCCCGTGTGCTCACGGAGACCCCGCCCACTGTGTCTGTTTTCCATTAGCCCCTATGTAAACAGCCCTACACAAACAGACCCTCTGTAACAGCCCTACATCACCCCCCCCTGTACAGCTCGCAGCCGTCCCGGCTGCAACAACTTTCAATAAAGGTTATTCAACCCCTGGATCCCCGCGTGTGCCTTAAAAAAACGTTTTGAACGCTAACTTGAAGGAACCAACAGTAACAACAACAACAACGACAATGACAACAACAAAACCCTCAACCCTGAAAGGGAACAATCCGACGCACCCCCCCCCCCCCGAATAAATACGGATACCGTAAGAACGAGCTATATACAATATGTAGCGAAGCCACAATGCACACCAATGGGCAGGGGACACCCCCCCCCCCCACACAACACACAATGAACACAACATATATATACAAATCTTGCGGTTCCTCAACAGTCTGCGCATTTTTGCGTGTGTCCTTGCGGTATCACAACAGTTTTCGCATTTTTGCGCGTGTCCTTGCGGCGGGCCCCTCACACGGGGGAACCCCGGGTGGCGGACCGTCAGGTGGCAATCGTCCGTCCGGGAGCGGGGTCTCCTCTGATGCCTCGTGACTGTTGGTATCCCCAGAAGGGGTGGTCGGGCGTGAGCCCGTCAGTCTCGATGCACCTGGAGGTGGCACGGCCGGCAAGGCATTAGGTGAGCGCGGTGGGGACGGACCTAGTGAGTCGGTCGACCCCCCACACGTCTGGCCACGCATGTGTGAAGTGGGTTTGTGTGCCGCGACGAAAGGTTTCAACCGAGAGGGGTGCACGAACCATCGCCGCTTCCCCCAACGAATGCGCACGCACTGTGGTCGCAGGACCTCGACCACTTCCACAGGCCCCCGCCACGGTCGCGCCAGCTTTGGGGAGGTAGCCAGGGGTACTTGGGGACAGTGCAACCATGCCCTGTCCCCCGGTTTCCACTGTATGACATGCGCTCGACCCAACCTGAGGCGCTCGTTCGCCTTTTGACGGAGGTCCGAGTTTAACCTCGCAGCATCCCGTGCCTCTGTTAACTTAGCCAAATTAAATTTGACGTGGTCAGCCAATTTTGTTTTACCTTGCTGGTCGGGGATCTGCAGCTGGGCGCGAACAGGCGGGTCGGGTTCGCGACCGTACATAAGGTAAAAGGGGGAAAACCCCGTAGCCGCATGGGGTGCCATCCGATATGCCGCCAAGACCCCCTGAATATGCAGGTCCCAATCAGTCTGGGAATCTGAGACCTGCTGTGCCATCATTGACGAAATGGTGCGATGCAGGCGCTCGACCATTCCGTCAGTCTGTGGGTGATACGGGGAGGTCCGAATTTTCTTTGTGCCTAAGAGGTCACAGACTTGTTTAAGTAATTTGCTGGAAAAATTTTTACCCTGGTCGGTCAGCAGCCGTTCCGGGGCACCTTTGTCCAGGACGTATCCCTGAACAAAGGCGTCCACGATGGCTGCTGCCGACTGGTTGGCAAGGGGCCAGGCCATGGGCCAGCGCGTAAAATACTCGACACCTGTCAGCAAATACTTATTGCCCCTGGGGGTGGCGGGAAATGGGCCCAAGATGTCCAGTGCGACCAGCTCATTTATCCTGGACACCTTGATCGATTGTAAAGGCGGGTTAGACTCCCGCGCCGGCGGTTTCCGCTGCGCACACCGCGGGCATGAACTCAGAAGATCCCCCACATCCTTTGTCATACCAGGCCAAAAAAAATCTAGCTGTATTAGTGCGAGGGTCTTTAGAGTCCCCAGATGTAACAGGCGCTCATGCGCGGCCCACACCACTTTGCCTCGCAACTCCGAAGGGACGACCAGCCGATGTCGCTGTGATTTTGCGTCCCAGTGCATGAGCAGACCCTGTACCATTTCCCATGCACCCGAATCACCTTTCACCCGGCCAGCACCCCCGACGCGACGACGCCACCCGAGGAGGGAGGTGTCCTCCATTTGGAGGCGCCCCCACTCAGTGACGGGCAACCCCAACAGGGAATCCCTTCCCTGTTGTTCGATAGAATTATCAGCCAGTGGCTCGTCATCGTCGGTGGCTGCCAGGATCGGGACCGATGCGTCCCCTGAAGGTCTGCAACGTCCCGACCCCAGGAGGCATGCACATTCCGAGGCGGTTGGCATGCGTGACAGAGCGTCCGCGTTGGTATGGCGAACGCCCTTACGGTAAGTGGTCTCAAAATCAAAATCCTGGAGAACCTCCAACCATCGAGACAACTGTCCCGATGGTTGTTGAACTCGCAGGGCATACTGTAGTGCCGCATGATCTGTGCGGACGGTGAAATGCCGACCGTACAGATATGGGCGGTATTGTTGGATGAAAAAAACAATTGCCAACAGTTCTCTACGGGTAACACAATATCTCTGCTCCGCAGGAGACAACACCCGACTACCGTATGCGACCACCCGTTCAACGCCATCAACCACCTGGGAAAGCACACCCCCAATACCCGTGTTGCTCGCATCGGTGTCGAGCAAAAAGGGTTTCGAAAAATCAGGGTAGATCAAGGGAGGGGCTTTCACCAGGGCGTCCCGAAGGGAGCGGAACGCAGCCTCCTCCTCTTGACCCCAGTGGAAACGAACCCCTTTAGATGTTAGAGCGTGCAGGGGTTTTGCAATTGTTGCAAAATCAGCAACAAACCGTCGATAATACGACGCGAACCCAATAAAACTCCTGACCTCTCCCACTGTAGTGGGAGTCGGCCAGGAGCTGACACACTGCGTTTTGGCGGGATCGGTAGCAATACCCGAGCGTCCCACGATGTGCCCCAAATAACGCACCGAATCACGCAACAAATGGCATTTTTGGGGCTTAAATTTCAAATTAGCAGCCCGCATCTTTAGGAAAACTGCCCGCAACCTCTGGAGATGGTCATCAAAAGTTTTACTAAAGACGATAACGTCATCCAAATAAATGAGGCACGACTCCCATTGCAGTCCAGCCAAAACCAATTCCATCAAACGCTGGAAAGTTGCCGGCGCTGAGTGCAAGCCCATCGGCAACCTGTTGAATTGAAACAAGCCGTGCGGTGTACGAAAAGCAGTTTTAGGCTTAGACTCATCATCCAGAGGAAGCTGCCAGAATCCCGAAAGTAAATCGAGTGTGGAAAAGAATCGCGCTCCCGCCAAAGCGTCAAGCGATTCATCCATCCGAGGGAGCGGGTATGCGTCGGCAACCGAAATTTTATTAAGACGCCGGAAGTCAACGCAAAACCGCAACGAACCGTCCTGCTTTTTAACCAGGACGATCGGCGCTCCCCAAGGGCTGGTGGAAGGAGAAATGATGTCCGCGGCTAACATGTCATCAACAGCCGATTTGACATGTTCCTTTTCGGCGGGACTCAACCGAAACGGATTTTGGCGAATTGGCGCGCTGTCACCCGTGTCAATATGGTGACGCAGCAAGTGAGTGCAGCCCAAATCATATTTATCTCGACTAAAAACGTCGGAAAATTCTCGCAATAGCGTTTTAAGTTGTTGACGCTCTGAATCGGACAGGTCCGTCGATCCCGCACAAAGCGCCTCGAGCCACCCTTCATCGCTGTCCGAACGTGGTCGCGACGCAGGGACAGTGTTGACGGAATTTACGGCGGGCTCCTCACACGGCACCGGCGTTGCGTGAGCAAGCACGGTCCCCTGTGGGAGCACCACCGTCTGCGAGCCCACGTTTAGGACCGCGATGAAGGGTTCACTATCCCCTCTCACTATGGTCTGGGCCGGTAGTAAATCAGGTCCACTAACCCCGGCCCTAGACGGTCCCAACAGTACCCCTTGCGCCCCGGCACCCTTAACGAGGGGCCGCCGAAGCTTCAAGGGCACCAACATTTGCGTTCCCGGAGGAACGCGTACCGTTCTCTCCACGAACGCCGGCACCGTCGCGAACGCCGTCCGAGTCGCAACTGGTGATGGCAGGAACGCCATGCGTCTGCCCGATGGAAGCTCTATGCACCCCTGGTCGATCAAAATTACAATCGGCATTTTGGCCAGGAAGTCCGTCCCCAGCAGGCACGGAACCGCCAGCGAGGACGAAACAAAAATCGGCCCAGACAATTTAATTTCCCCAATACAAATTTGGGCACGAATTTGTCCGATGATGCCAAGTGAGCCCCCGTTAGCCGCATAGAATGGTACGTTAACAGGCATCAAAGGACGGCTCCGGACAGGGAGAATATTGTAAATTAATTCCGAAATAATAGTCGCCGATGCCCCCGTATCGACCAGGATGCGCACTTCCACCCCGTCGATATATCCTACAACGGCCGACGACCCCGACGATGCGGCAACCACACGATCGGCCAGCACGGACCACTGGCCGGGTTCGATATGGGTACCCGGAGTGGTGCGTGATGGTGCGATGGTGCGTGATACCGGCCCCCCTCTCGTCGCGGTGTTTGAGTGCGTGACGGGTGTGTGTGTGGGCCAAACGTGTGGGGTGCCGCGACTCGCCGGTTTTTGACGGTGGAGCTTGGGATGAGGCCCGTCGTCCCGGTGAGGTGTCGTCCCGCGCTGACGAGGAGAGCGGCACCCCGAGGCGACGTGGCCCCGGACGCCGCAGTTATAACACCGCGGGAGCGATGTCGGAGGTGACGAGTGGTCGGAACGGCCTGACCCGTCCTGGCCCGGCCGTGCACTCGTCGCCTGTTGCCGTCGGTGGTCGACGGCGTAGAGTTCCTCCGTCGGAAGGGTGGCTGCAGCCACCGCACGCCCCGCCGATGCCCTGCTGGCTTTGCGTCGAAGCGACAGGAGGTTTGCGTGGAGGAGCCGCGCCGCCTGGAGCGATGTCATTTCCGCGTCCTCCTGTGCGACGACAGCGATGTCTAGATCGTCGGCCAGGAGGAGTATCTTCTCCGTTACCATAGCGTCGATGCCGTCGTCATCCATCCGGGGGAAGGCCGACTTGGCCATCGCCAGGAGGCTCGTTCGGTACGCTAGGGGCGACTCCTTCTCTCCCCGCTTGCGGTCGTAGAACTCTTGTCTGCATTCCGCCGACGGTCCGTAGACCCCTCCCAGCAGCTGCAGCGCCATCGGTAACGTGGAGCGCCTTTCCTTGGGTGCCGATGTTAGGGCGGCAAGCGCGTCGCCGTCCAGGAGCGCCGGCAGGGCGCTGAGAGCTTCTTCGTCCGTCCATTTAGCCATCTCCTGGTGGGCGAGGAAGCGTCTTTGAAAGCCGCTCCAGTCGCCCTCTGCGCCCACGAATTCTTTAAGCGGGGGCAGCCTTTGGTGTAGCGCAGCGGCTGCCGTGGAGTCCCGTGGACTGCTGCCTCCCCGACTCGGCTGCGTCTCGGCGCGAATGGCAGATGGCATCGCCTGTCGCAGCTTTGATGACGCGCCCTCCTCCGTCGTTGATGCAGCAGCCCCAGCGCGGCCGATGTCGGACCCCAGGTTGAGGTTGGCCACGCCCCTAGCGGTCGCTGCGTCGATGGCGGGAATTTCAAAATTTAAATCTTCAGAAATGGCGGGAAGACGCTCCACACGCCGGTTCCTCTCGCCCCGCGGTGGACCACCAGCCGCCAGCCGTGTGATGTCCCCCAGCGCAGCGGCAGCGGCGTAGAGCAGTTCCGCCAGCCTCTCATGAGCCAGCCTCAGGTCGTCTCCCCGCTGCTCCTCTTCATGGCGATGCTCCGGTAAGCCCGCATCCGGCCCCGGCTGCACGTCGTCTAGTAGAGCCATCTCGGGCTCGGCAATTTCGGCGGCGTCCTCCGCCCGCTGTTCCCTGGCTCGAGCTGTTTGGCGCGTGTCCATGTTTTTGGTACTTCTGACGCCAGATGAAGTGTTGTTGAAGACGCGTGGACAACGGGGTAAGGCACACGTATTTATTTATACAAAGGGCTTACAGTACTAGAGGGATGTATCGGCCCCCTCACCCGTACAACTGGGAATTCACCCCTAGCTAGCCTTCCTAGCTGAGTCCTCCGCTAACGGGCTAGGGGAGGCTGTCTGGCCCGACACTGGTTAGTCGGGCTACGGTACCCGGAATCCCAGAGGTCTGACTCTGGTTCCGGGACCACGCCACTGGCTCCAGCCTGCACTGCCCTTACAAGGGCGGCGTCCCAGGGGGAGTCCAGGGCCTATCTGGCTGGTCTTCTCTCTTCTCTTAACTACTCTAAGACTGAGCCCCGAGCTCTCTGGCTCAACCCTTTTTATACCCCGTTAGAGGATCGAAACCCCCCTCACGCCGTCCAGTACGGACGTCGTTGCGGGCACCACCCCGTGTGCTCACGGAGACCCCGCCCACTGTGTCTGTTTTCCATTAGCCCCTATGTAAACAGCCCTACACAAACAGACCCTCTGTAACAGCCCTACAACTGTATTCTACATACAGCGTCGTATCTCAAAACACTGAATACCGCAAACCACATGAACGTAAAAGTACGTCGTGAGTCACGCCACGGAGACACAAAAGGAACGTGGCGCAGGGCACGGGGGAGCCGCGTGGGGCGACAGCCAATTGGTGCACACGGACAAACTGGCCAATGTTTCCGCGGGACGCAAACGGCCGCTCGCAAAACACAAAACGAAAATGGCAATAGTCAAGAATGACTTTCCAGAATAAATAAACACATTTTTTAACTACGGTCCGTGTTCTTTCTTGCGAATTGACGATGATGCGATGGCCGCCCTCGCCTTAGCAGATCGACTCACCACTGCGCAGGTGCGGTTCGACCGCCTGGCTGCCGCTTCACTTGATTGGTTTGTCTTACCTCCCCCGCACCTCCGATTATCACGTTTGGCTACGTACAGTGCAAAAGAAGTTCAACATACATACACACATAGACTCACACAGAGTCCGATAGATTCACACAGACCTATAGACTCACAAAGATATCCATTTATTTAGAACAGTTTTTTTATATTTAGTTGTTGTCCTTCCCCCGCACCTATGATTACCACGGTTGGTTATGTACGGTGCGAAAGAAGTTAAACATACAATGGTTGAGGGGGGGGGCGTGAGTTCCAAATCCTTTTCCAAGGTGGTTATTCAAAATCCAATGCCACCATTTAGTTCAACAGCCTTAACAGCCCCCCGCCAAGGTGGAAAGAGCACCGCAAACCAACGTCTCACACCGTCGCCTCTCCCTCCAAGCAAGCGGCTCGCAATCGCAAAGTTGCGAGTTCATAATAAACCCTGAGTTGGGAGGCATCGACTCAGCCCATCATCCCACTGGGGCCGACAAAGCAAGTCTGCAATGGCTGTTCCGTGGAATAACTGGCCTCACCATTGGAATGTGGAATTTTCACCACCGACACTTAGAGAAAGAGCAATGCGGATAACCCATTGGTCACATGCGCACTCAAACGACACCAAAGTAAATGGGAAGTGCAGAGAATTTATTCCGGCTGAGATGGCCCTGGAGAGGCTGTAGCTGGATTCAGGGCGAGCACCTGGCACGATGTGATTCTGTTGTTGTTGTCTTTGTGCAGGGATTGAACAGTGGAGTTGGCACTGTCGTAGTGAAAGAAGATCGCTGGGTAAGTGCTTTTCGTTTTGCGCGTCACTCGCAGAGATTTAAAACAGAGTGAGAGTCGATGGCGGATATGGCACGGCAACAGATATCATGCTCCACGAAAACTATTACAGCATTTTAAATTCGCAGGTTAGGCCCACTGAGCTATGTAGCTCCTTTTCAGAAGCAATCTGGCCACAAATGATAGCTCAATGAAGTGGGTTATCATGTGGAAATGTATAGCAGCCAAACACTCTAAACGCGTGTTTCTAAATGTGGAGGGAAAAACCGGAGGACCTGGAAAAAATCCACGTGACCACGGGGGAGAAGACGCAAACTCCAAATATATTATTATTTGGTTCTTTCGGTTAAGTCACGTCTAAAGATAAAATAATAAATTAAATTAAATAATAGCATACGACGTTTCGATTGCAACACAAGCAATCATCATCAGGTATAATGAAATAGCGACATAAAATCTAGCCAGAAAACTATAGACAGACATATCCAAATATATGACGGGCATCAGGGTCGGGATCGAACCCAGGAACTCCTGTATACCAGGCGAGGGAGTTAACATCTGGCCACCGCCCTCATACTGAAATTATCGTGATTAGTTTGTTGTCCCCCCCCCCACCTCCAATTACCGAGTTCACACGAGGTCACGATCAGCTATTAATGATTTATTCTCGGCTACCTGGGACTTGTTGTTAAGTCAGTATGAATCGACGAGGCTGGCCTACGCTGATACCTCTATGCCTATTCCTGATTTATCTGCTTACGATACTATTTCACCTTGTTACTCACGGTTAGAAGTATTCGGCGTCCTGTGGGTTTTCCTCGCTGCTCGTCAGTGCACCCGGAGTGCGAGGGGGCAACACTCTATCCCATACAGACGGAACAGGTGGAGTCCACATTTGTTGTTGCTGTACTGCCATCGCCTGGCGAGCCAGTATAGGGCTTCTCCTCGACTCTCCTGGGAAGGGAGTTTCACAAGATCTGTGTGATTCACCAACCCTCTTTGCCGCCTCCACACTGCTGTATCACAGGCCGCGTGCGTAGCCACCGCCGCCCGGCTAATTGTACTGCGCTCGATGCAAGCCAAATGTTGGTGATTTCTTCTTGTTTTGTGTTTGAATATAGGTAAGAAAGGTTTGCCGTTCGCGTGCGGAACGTACCTGCACGTGCAAGAGGTGCGATGCAGCCTCCTGACTAAGACCAGCGCTGGCCAGCGCAGTGGCCTGGCCAAGCAACCAGAAGCTTCCGGATGGAGCGAATGCTCTGATGTGCGGTTTGGCGACAGTAACGACTCTCCTGGCACGACTGAGCACGCCACCCCTGACTCGTCCCCCGAGGAGGACCAGTGCCGCCTTCCCACATCCAAGAACAAAGGAGTCAACATTGAGGATCTCGTCAACGTCAGATCATCAAAGGGACTTTCACCTGTGGCCCACCAGGTGTTGTCCCCTGACCTCCGGAGGACAAAGAGGCTCATCAACCTATCGCACCGAACCACTCCCACAGAGCAGGGCCCTAAACACGAGGACTTGACCCAGCCATCCAGCAGCCCCCCGCTCAGCCTGGAAGCCCTGGGACTGACATCGCTTCTCAAAGATGACAGCTTCCGTGGAGGCCACCGCGACGTGGCGGCGCTCAGGGTGACCGCGGGAGAGCTGATGAGGGCCAGCCACGTCGTGAAGGCCAGGAGCCAGGCCTGCAGCAGCGTGGCGATGGCAATCAACCTGGCTACGCTCACCGGTTGGGACAGGAGCTCCGGCGGGTCGCGGCCAGCCGAGGAGCGGCCCGGCAATGGCAGCCCTCGCCTCCCCCCGGCGCCCGTGCCTACGTTCCACCATCAGCCGCTTCACAGCAGAAACTCCACTCAGCAGCAATGCCGCAGCCTCCCAGACATCTCCTCCATAGCCTCTCCTCCGCACGAGCATGGCCCGCACCTGCGTCTACACGACGGCAAGGCGGCCGCACCCGGGGCCCCCGCCGGCCGTCGCGGGACACTCAAGTACGCGTCGAGAGGCGACGGTGGCCGAGCCGGCGGCCCCTCGGAGGAGAAGGCCGCGGAGGCGCTTAGGCACGCGCAGCCCTCCACTACGTGGAGGGAAACGCCCGCGGCGTGTTGGGGCAGGGAGGAGCGCGGCGGTGGCAACGGTGGGAACCAGCAGGTGGTGAGCGCTCCTGGCGAGGCTCCGTTTGCAGAGGGCCGCACGCAGGCCCAGGCAGCTGAGGTGACGGGCCAGTTCCAGCCAGAGAGGGGCTCGATGATGTCGCCGGATGTTGTGTTTTACTGTGTTCGTGACCTGTAAGCAGCCTTTGTCCAATTCCTGTGAGCTTTAGCATCACACTCCAAAATATATATTTAAGCAAAATTGGGTTGTAGATGGAACACCATTAAAAGCATGCTGATACACACTTGTGTAGACCTAGCTTCAAAGACAAATAAGTTCACAATTTTTCCTCCCGCAATTTTCATGATCAACCATGATCTATCCACTGTTGAATGAAAGCCTCAGCATAACACCCACTCACTCATCTGCTCGGTCACACACTTACCCACCCCACCCACTCACCCACTCACACAACTACCTGCCCATTTGCTGCTCACCCACCCACCATACCGCAGGTCACCTCACTTCTCTGTATGCTTCTTCCCTCGCACTGCTCCACTCTGGAGTTCCCTCCTCCCATTATCCCCCCCCCCCAAGCTCTTACAACAATAACCTCGCTCAATTACTCAACTCCTACTCAATTCTTACCAATTACAACCTCGGTAGTGCTGCTGGCTGCGGGACGTTTAAACACCCTTGGGCCTCGTGCTCACCAACTGTGTCCACATAAATCACAGTCTGGTTGTGGCGAGATGTTATCTCCTTCGACTGGTATGGAGGAGATGGTGGCTTTGTTCTCGAGCCTGATGCCTGCTATATCGGGAGTTTGCGTGTTCTCCCCGGAGTCGAAAGGATTTTTGTCTGTGTGTCCTCCCTGCACATCTAGAAACACGCGTGTAGAGTATTTGACTGCTATACATTTTCACGTGATGAGCCACTTCGTTGAGCTGTAATTTGTGGCCAGGTCACTTCAGGAAAAGAGCTACGTAGCTCGGTGGACCTTTCCCAGTAAAATAAAAAAATAGTTTAGTTTAGACTTTCTACTCTGTGATACTGATTTTATCTACCTCGGGGGTATGATGGGTAGAGTTGGCCCCTGGTTGGTATTGGAATTTGCACTGTTTTGATTGAGTGGATTGCTCCAAACAGAGTCATGCCGAGGCAGGCTTTACAATGCCGCGAGGCTTAACCGTGACCTGTGTTACAGCTGAGAGATCAACAGTGCAAGGGTTTGATTTGTGTTTCGGTGGAAATTTTAATTTCGCTAGAGTGTCGTCGGAAGTAGAAATAGGCCAAGTTGGCAAAAAATATACATTTTCTTTCACTAAATATTGACAGGGCCTGTGTCTTATTGAAACTCACGAGTTGGGTCCCTCATCTTCTGCCAGGCAGCGTGATCTTCCCCATCATTTCTCCCCGGTGCTATTTCAGAGATGGTTTGTTGTATTTGCTCTCGTTGCTGTGCACATTCCCACTCTGTGATAGAATAAAGTCTGAGACTGAGCAAGCCTTGATAAAAATGGTCTCTCGTGGCCAATGCTACTTGCTCGTGTCTCCAGCTGTTGCCTCTCAGCGAGTGACCCCCCCCCCCCCCGCCCCTTGTTGTCCCGTGTCTCCCAGGCCAAGCGACGTCCTCTCCAAATGCCGCTGGAGCTGCCTCCGGTGCTCCAGTGGCAGACAACCGGCTCTCTCGTCCACCTGCAACGGACGATTTGACCGCATGGGGAAGCCTCGCAGCCACGGGACACGGGGGTGCGGGGACGAACACCGAGTCGGTGCTCTGCCGCGTCGGTCACCTGACCGGCGCTCCGGTTAAACATCGGCATCTTTCACTCTCTCAGATTTGTTGAATTCCCGTAGCTGCAGAACACACAGGGGGTCAGAGGTGCCCAGCCTGCACTCCACGGATCACGGTTGGTCCGCAAGGCGGTGATACTGTGGTCCACGGAAACTCGTTGCAGATGATTTTATTTTTCTATTTAGTTTGTTGTCCTTTCCCCGCACCTCCGATTAGTATGGTTGGCTATGTACGGTGCGAAAGAAGTTCAGCGTACATGCATACATGCATTCTTTTCACAAAGCACCAGATTTATTTCTCCAGGAAAGACTGCGAACCACTGATCTAGGCCAAACATTCCACCCATTAACTTAATTTGTTTCCGCCTTGCAGTACCCCTGAACAATATCGCTGTGGGGCGATCATGTACAAGTTACACGTGACTGTAGTCGGATTACCAAGTGGAAGTAACTGTAACTCCTTATCATTATGAATGTGCAATCAAGATTACAATTTCCTTCGATGTATCGGTTAATTATGGTTGTATGATTATTATGTATTTACTTGAATATTTTTTACCCCCAAAAATGATTTAACGTGGTCAACGACCGTGTCTGCAGTGTGAATTAACGCGGGGACTGTGGCAAAATCAAATCATGACACACGGCCCACAGCCATCACGGGGCGCGGTCGTTACTTCGGCTGTTTAGACCGAATGCAAAAATTCCCTCGTTATTCACGAGGGACATGTTCCAGAGATGCTCGTGAACAACAAATTTCGGTAAAAAAGACCCAAAGAGTATGAATTCCTGCAGTCACGAAAGCTTTAAGTCAAAAGATAAAATAAATAAATAATGATTATCATCACTTTCTCGCTCATCACTTTATCTCATCACATTCTCTTGATCACTTTATCTCATTTTAGTCGTGGAGAGTTGCAGTTGCGATTCGCGGATATAAAATCGCGGATAGCAAGTTCGTGGCAGTGGTACACGAGCAGAATTAACGAATAACAAAAAAAATAACATGGGACCTTTTTAGCCAGTATTGAAGTCTAACACCGTTTTGAGACTAGGCTCCAAAGAAAGCTGTCTCTAGTGTGGACCAATCAGTTCCAAAGACATGCATATATTATCAGTGTTTTTTTTGCATTCTGACCACAAGTATTGTGGTTAATGCAGACATGATTCCTTGTAAAAGGTTTCAGTTTGGTATTTTAACATCTTAACACAACTGTTTTGTTGCCAGATAAAAGGGGAAAACCTATTCTCATATAAAAAATAAGAATAGGTTTTTCTTTGTCTGGCAATAAAATAAGAGTTGTTAAGACGTTCAAACACCAAATAGAAACCTTTTGCAAGGAATCAAGTCTGCATTAACCACACACAGTACTTGGGGTGAACATGCAAACAAATACGTGCTCTGATAATTATAGATGGCATTGTCTTTGAAACAGATTGGTCTACACCAGAGACAGCCTTCTTTAGGGCCTCATCTCGCTACCAGTGTCAGAGCATGTTTGTGTTTGCATGATCTGTGTGTGGTTAATGCAGACTCGATTCCTTGCAAAAGTTTTCTATTTGGTGTTTGAACGTCTTAACAACTCCTGTTTTATTGCCAGAAAGGTTAAAAGCTATTTTTACTTTTTCAACAAAAAAATGAGTTTAACACGTAGGCTTCCGCAACCAACATTGCCTCTGTTGTCCACGTGACAACTTATTGAATCCGGCTGTGTCGTCGGGTGGAGGAGGAGGTATACGACAAACATTGGCATTTTACTCGCACGGGGATCTGATGAAAAAAGTCAACTGTGAGTCGTAACAAATGAAACCCCACGCATTCGTCAACAACACCGCATGGCCTTACGCACAGGAAATGCATAACAGGCGACGTTTTGTGCAATCGCCCTTATTCCCAGCACACAGAGACACATTTCTACGCGCAATGAAGAAGGGTAATTGCCTGCAACGTCGCCTGTTATACATTTTACAGTGAGCGACTTCCGACACACGTCTAAGTAGAAGGCTTTTTATTTATTAAGAGCACACAGGGAGATACACTTCGTAACGCGGCTACACCCCAGCCCATCTCCGTCTTGCGCTACGCTGGCTGGTTGACGAGCGTAGCGGTAGCGATGGAGCTGGTCTTGCAAAAGAAAAACCACGTGGTCGGAGACCAACCGATGAGAACGGCAGTGACGTAACAGCCCCGAAGCTCTGGTTCGGTGCTCCTTATATCTGCTTGGCGTGGCCAAGCTCCACCTCTGGCTACGCCCCCTTTCTAGCACCTTCTAGACCCTTCGGGATGGTTTCCGGAGCTTCTCGACTGACTCCGCCCTTGACCTTTACCCCAGATACGCCCCTTCATCATAAGGCATTTTGTAATACAGCTATAACCGTAATTACCCTTACAGGCCAGCAGGTGCCACCCTGTCATTACACATGTATTTTTTTAAAGCACGTGTAACTTGTAATATGTAACACTCGGCTGCCGCTGTTGTCTGCTGGCGAAGCCACCCTTGGTATTTTAGAGCTGCGTCGCTCACGAGGCTTCGGCTGGGGAAATTTTCTTATTCTGACTGTTCATGCGTTGCTTTCAAGAAAGAGTTCAGGAATTTTTTTTTATAATCAAACAATTTTACTTACGTGTATCACAAACAGTTTGGATAATGATAATCGTCAACAAACGTGGAATGGTACGAGGCATTACTGTGTTTCTTCAGAAAAAGTCGTACATTAAATCAACACAGAATAACAAGATAATAAAAAAAATATAATCACAAGGTTATGATTGCCACTGAGAGAGACCCTTTACCGCGGTGTGTCATGTTTTATTGCGGTGTTCTTCGCTAACTTTCAAAGGAGGGGGGCCACTTTTGCCAATAAGGCACCACAGTGCAAGGGGCTGCCACACATTTTAAACCATTGTTTGGTTTGACAGCAGCACGATGACGATGATGGGGAGTGTTTGTGTATTGCCACGGGGGGCGCACTAAAGGACATCAGGGGCTGCCAGTGGCCCGTGGGCCTTGCAATGAAGAACACTGTCTATAGGGTGTGCAAATATCTCTCATCCAAGCAGCCTACAGGACTTCTTACGTGATTGACGTTGATCTGTCATATATTCGCAAATGTTGTTATTTAAATGTTTACATTTGGTATCTATTTGCAAATGGGGAATTTGTTCATATTCAACAGTTTTTTTTTAATTTTATGTTCAAAATACAGACTTTGCAATGCACTGTATTGTAAATATTGCCTCTCGATACATCACGACTCATTGCCTATGGTATGATATTTATTGCCACGTTTTATTCCTGTTTGTATAATTGCCACCTTTATATATTACAAATAAATGTAACATGTGCTTAAATAACTAAACATACATGTTAAATGTATATGTAGTGGAAAAGGATGACAAGTTACCATTCCGATTTAAAGCTTTCGTAACTGCAGGGATTCATCTTCTTGGTTCTTTCGGTAAAGTCACGTAGAAGGGAAATAATAAAATAAAATAAACATCATAAAATAATTCTCACGACGTTTCGGCCACAACGCAAGCAGCCGTCCTCAGTTGAAGAACAGGTCTGTCGGAAAGACAGCGTCTCAATGAAACACCACCAGGTTTGGGGCGTAAATTTAAGCTGGGGTGGAGGGGAAAGAGCGCCTTGACAAAATAATTTGCACCAACACTTATTTTACCTGGAATGGCACCTTCTACAAACAAAATGAGGGTACCGCTATAGGCTCCCCTTTGTCACCAGTGATAGCCAACATGTTCATGGAAAAGTTTGAATCAGACGCCATCCAGGCATCCACCCTGCGTCCTTCCCTGTGGAAGAGCTATGTGGATGACACTTTCGTCATTTGGCCACATGGCCTCCCAGCATTGAACCACTTCTTCGACCACATCAATTCCAGACACCCATCCATCAGATTCACCATGGAAGTGGAGAAAGATGGTAAACTACCATTCTTAGATATTCTGTTTGAGAGGAAACCTGACGGATCCTTGGGACATTCTGTTTACAGGAAAGCCACCCACACAGATTTCTACTTGAAACCCGATTCCCACCACCACCCATCTCAAAAGAATTATCTCATCAAAACGCTATACCACAGAGCTCATGGCATTTCTGACCAACACCACCTGGCCAGTGAATTAAGACATGTACATCGGGCCCTCAGGATGAACGGATACTCTGACCTCACCATCCGCCAAGCTGTTTCTCCCACCATACAGAAACAGCCACATGAAACTCCGATCAAAACTATCAAATTCTAAACAAACATAAGATTCAAGTCCGATTCAGTACAGTACATAAAATCCGTGACCTAATTCCATCTGTGAAAGATGTCATTCTTGACTTACAATACCCTGGAGTCTACAAACTGAGTTGCAGTTGTGGTGATTGCTACATTGGAGAAATGAAACGTCATATCTTTGATCGTGTCCGCGAGCACAAGTCAGATCTGAAACACGGCAAAACTGATTCTTCCGCCGTTGCCGATCATTGCTACAACGCTGTGGGCTCTCATGAAATTGTCTTTTCCGAGACTAAGGTGCTCTGCAAGCCTCCTGGCTACCATCAAAGGTTTGTACACGAAGCCATTCAGATATACAAACACAGACATAATTTCAACCGTGATGATGGGTACAAACTTAGTAATCATTGGAAAGATGTTATTAACCATGTAAAAAATATTTAACTACACATTTTTGGACCATCTTATCTGACAGGCACTATTTTACTTTACCGAGTGTTAACATCCCCAGTGTTTAACAGTACTCTCTTTATTGTCAGCCAACACTGGTATAAACATGGGCATTTTCGTTCTTTTCTATCATGTGTATCAACAGATGCTTGTACATATACATGTCCACGTACACTTGCATCCCGTACTCTCTTTTAGCCCCGCACCCCCCTCCCGATACGTTCCATTCATTGGCTACCACATTCTGATAAGCTCCCCGCCCCCTCTCCTTCCCCCTCAACTTGTATTTAAGGGCTTGCATCTTGAATCCCTGCCTCACTTGATGCAGCAAATCTGGATGTGACGGTCCCACCTGATGATGGAGACTTGTGTTGCCTCCGAAACGTCGTGATTTTTATTTTTAATTTTATTAATTTTAATTTCATTTTTTACCTACGTGACTTTACCGAAAGAACTAAGAGTATGAATCCTTGCAGTCACGAAAGCTTCAAATCTAGAATCTCGTCGACTGCCTGACGAACATGGTCCTTCTCTTTGAGGCTCAATCTATACGGGTTCTGGTGAATGGGGGCGGCGCTCTCCGTATCAATTCGGTGATGCAACAGGGACGTGCGGCCAATATCATATTCTTCTTTACTGAAAACGTCAGAAATGTATTTTAGAAGTGCGCGCAACTCTGCTCTCTGTGCATCAGACAAATCGGAGCTCTCGGAGCAGAGTGTGTTCATCCATGACTCGTCACACCTCTCTCCTTGCTCCACAGCCGCCGCGACACCAACATTCCCGCCATTTGTTTCATCGCAACACGTGGCAGACGCGTGAGCTAGAACAGTACCCGCGTGTTTTACAGAGGCGTCCAGACCAGCGTTCAAGACCTGAATGAAAGGTTCCTGGTTGCTTGCCACCAATGTCTGTGCTCCCACTAATGTAAGGCCCTGGACTGCCTTTTTCGAGGAGGCCAAGATAATCCCTCCCATTGTAGCTTCTCGATCGAGCTGCTTCCGCAGCCACAAAGGCACAAGCATCTAAGCACCAGGGGGGATTTTAACAGTTTCTCTCACCAGCGCTTGGACTGTGGCATTAGCCGTGCACAACCGAGTTGGGGAGGACAAAAATGCCATTCGGCGGTCCGATGGCAACTCGATGCACCCCTGATCCACCAGGATCGTATGCGGCATTCTCCCTAGAAAATTGGTTCCTAACAGACAGGGTACAGCCAAGGACTTTGAAACTAGCACCGGCCCTGTCATCTGGATGTCACCAATGCACACTCGCCGATATTTGGCCAATGATCCCCAAGGACCCACCATTGGCGGCAAAGCACGGAATTTCCACAGGGCTAAGGTTACACAATTTTGGCGGTAAAATATTACAAATAATTTCAGAGATAATGGTAGAGGATGCTCCGGTGTCAATGAGCACCCGCACCTCAACACTCTGTATGGTTCCAACGACTGCTGACGATCCCGCCGCCGCACCCACAATATGATGGCTCAGTGCTGACCATTGACCTGGACGCTGCGGCCACCCACCATCCGCCAAAACCCGACTCTCACGCTCCACAACCAGGCGAGAAGCAATAACACGAATTCGGCCTGGCGCACGAACATGATGCATGAGGTGACTGCAAGGGCTGGGTGTGTGGTGTATCGCGACTCGCCTGAGGACCCAAAAGTAGAGGATGACCGGGTGGAGGATCTCCCTTGGTCGACACAGCATCCCCTTGAGATGTGTCCCAGCAGGCCGTACTCAAAGCAGATAATATGGGCACTCCTTGGGCGAGAAAAGGTCCCCTTCTGGAGGTCTCGCCCCCCTTGTCGCACTGCATCATCCTTCCTCCGCCTGTCGCCGTCGTCCGAAGAGCAGACTTGGGGGAGCTCCGTGCCCTCGGAGGGTCCGGCGCATGCAGCCACCCCTGCACGCCGCTTCAAATAAAAATGTGCCTGGAGGCATCGCGCTACCTTGAGCGACGACAAGTCGTGTTCTTCCATAGCTGGCAGGGCAACGTTCAGTTCTCAAGCCAGCACCAGCATGCGTTCAAGCATCACGGAGTCCAGCCCAGCTTGCTCCATCTTGGGATACGCAGCCTGCGCCAGCGGCATCAGCGCGCTGCGGAAGGCGAGGGGCATGTTGATCTCCCCCACCTTCGCGTGGCAAACTTGTGTCGCACGTTAGATGGCGAATTGAATATTGCCGCCATCTGGGCGAAGGCTTGCGGCAGCGTTACCCTGTCCTCTGCCGGGATGGCGTAGAATGCCGCCAAGGCGTTGTCATCTAAGGTGATCGGGAGCGCCCGCAGCGCCTCCACCTTGGTCCATCCCACGAGATCACAGGTGGCAGTGGAGCGCCGCTGTAAATTCCCTCACAAAGGGAAGTTGCTTCTTGAGCACTGGGACTTCGGGTTGCGATTTTGGCAGGTCCAATTTGGCGGGAACCTTGTACCGCCCATCCAATAAAATGGCCGACGCGCATGCAGGCTGCATCTCTTCAGTTTCCCACGTGCGGGAAACAGCAGTGGCAGAGTTGTCTCCTTGCGGCCCTGACGCTCCAACCTCCCTCACCGGCTCCTCCAGCTCAAGCTCGGCGACCAACGCTGCCGCGGCGGACAGCAAATCGGCGAGGCGGGCATTGCGCGACCAGCACTGTCTCCCTGACGACGGCGGTGCAGCGAGATCGGGTCCATATCGCTGCTCTGCCGGTAGAGCCGCCTCTCTCCGGGGCTGCAATCCCTGAAGCTGTCTGGGGAATCACCCCCTCATCGTCCTTTTCATCTTTAGACGCCTTGGTAAGATGTCTTATTCTTGTAAACATCACGCTACACTAGGGCTATCACCTCACTATTTTTAACACTTCTGATGCCAGATGTAGTGGGTTCATTTAAGAGACACATTTGACTTAGGAGGCAACACGTTCATTCTTTGACCACAACGGAGTAACTCTATAAACGGGTCAGATCAGTTAACAAACTGCCTGACCCACGATGCTGAGTGTGAAGATCGGAGACCGAAGAGACGTAGCACGGCAGGTTCCATTCCAAAAGACAGCCCTGATCGGCTCTTGGGACCTCCCTTTTATGCCCCTGAGCGTGGCCTGGCTCTGCCCTCGGCCACGCCCCCTTCTGGATCCTCCCAAAAGGTTCTGGGTCATACACGACGTGTCCATCTTGCCACCTTTGGCCCCCCTCGCTACCCTGTCCTGGTCACGTGCCCTCTCGGGTTCAACCAGACTGTCACGTCCTCAACTGCCCTCTCTCTGACAGTCCCCAGAACCATGCCCGCTAGGGCCCCTTTCCATGCCATAACATAATCTGGTGTCAGAGTGAGGCTTTAACACTCACAGTTCCACTCTTCTATCAGTATCTGGCGCTAAACGCCGTAGTGACCCAATATACATCACTACACATTTACTTTACATATCGTATGCGTCGCATAACGCTGCCACATCCCCCAATCACAGTTACACCTCTGTCTACAGGAGGGGTTGCCAGCTCACCACAATAATAGCAGCAATGTCAATTTGGAACGCCCCGCTGCCAGCACAGTATTCGCTTGCTCTGGCAGAGAGACGGAACAACTCGGAGGCGCGAGGAGGAACCCACGTCGCATTGAAAGGCATCAGCCATGCAATGAGCCGTTACCAGCAATAGTTGCCCAAGCTCTGCGGTTTTTTGTACATTAAGATGTTTTCAGCCAATTAATGAGTACCATGCATGTGGGAAGA